ATATATATGTATACATATATACATAAACACATTTTTGCATACAAATATATGCACATGCATACATTCCCGCATGCGTTCATAAATTGTATATATATATATATGATATATATGTATATATATATATATATATATTTATATATATATGCATGTATGTCTATATATATATATTAATATATATTAATATATATGTATCTGTATATTCATAAATGTAAATATTTATACATGCATGCATGCGTAAATAATATATATATGTAGAAGTATAAGTAAAAGTATATATATAACATATATGTATATATATATGCGCTTATAGTTGTAAATGTATACATAAATGATATATGTTTATATATATATAGATGTGTGAATTCTTATGTTTATATATATATATATATTTGTGTGTATACATCTATTTGTACATATGAATATACTTAAATAGATAAGTAAATATGCATATATATTCATGTGTATGTATTTATATACAAGACAAAACACAAATACACACATGTATATATATATAAATTTACATTACATTTACATACAAACATGTATACATACATATATAATTACATATAGTCATATACACATAAATTATATATATAAATATGTTTCCGTATGTGTAGATTCTAGTTTCAGTTTAATTCTCAATGAATATCCCCTGGCCGGACTGTCAGGAGGTTCCGTGCGCGCAGTCCATCAACGTAGACAGAAAACAGCGCAGTACGCCTGGGGCTATCAGCTTTTCGATTTATCCTCAGCCCTATTGATCTGCTTCGCAGGAAATAGCTCGCTGTATATCAATCGTACCTGATCGCTCCACTGCAGGTGCGCATGGTTGGGGTTGTGCCCGTCATTGCAGAACTTAATATGCAGCAAAGCCGCCAGAGTGGGCATGTCATTCTTATTCCCACACTTCGTTTTGTGTATGATATTTTGCAATGCTCTACTGTGCTCGACCGTCCCGTAGTCGTGGGCTTTAAGAGCCCTATAGTCAAACTCTAGGTGTTGTGCCAGGCTTTCCATGCGCTTCACAATGCGGACCGCTCTGGTGGTCACATAGCCTTCCGCCAGCTCCTTGTGTGCACAGTGTTCAGTTGTCAAGTATTTATGCACGTATGCTTTATCTTCAGCGCTGATAGTATCTGCTGTTTTCCTATTCCGTGCGCTATCACTCTCCTCATCGCCCTCATTTTTTTCAATGAGCTTGCTCCGTTTTCTCGCAGGCATGTGCTTCTCAGCACTCTTCCCTTCAGTATTTTCGTGTTTGTCGCCTAGTTTCGAGGGTTTCCTGTCTATTGTTGACCCATTCGTGACCCTATTTTCTGTCTCAAAGTGCCCCACACTCGATACTGAGCGCAGACTTCTATCCGAGTTGGATAGCCGATGTGCTAGTGCACTAGCCGTAGCTTCAGAGTGCTTCTCCATCGATTCCGGTCCATTTTCAGCACCGAAAGTCGGTTGGAACCTCGGTTCGCGCTCTCTTTGTATCGACATCTCGCGATCATTCCAGTTTTCTAAATTTGTAGGACCCCTCCGGTTGAAGCCTTGCGACTGTGTATGTGCAGAAGCCTGCAATTGTCGTGCCACAGGTACCCCCTGGGTGTGTGCGAATGATTCAGCTTCATTGCGTTGCTGCAAGTTTTGAGGGCTATCTCTGCTATTACCCCATCGACTGAACTGTCCATTTTGGTTATATTCTAAGTCAACATCGCGCCTATCGACATCGACATGTGGTGTTGGTGAGTTCAGATCTCGACTGGATACGGGCAGACGTGCCAATGATTGGTTATAAGCCCTTCTCCTCACATCCTCAGTTTCTCTCTCTTTGCGCATATCTCGTTCGCGTTCTTCTTCGCTACGCATAGAATAATCCAAATGTGGATACGGCTTTTGCTCAATACGCTCAGCCTCTTCTTGTTCCTGACTCCATTGCCGCCTCAAATGTACCTGGTCATTCCTAACCTGCACATGTCCCTGTGCTCGTGAATGCGCCTGTGCTTGAGCTTGTCTTTCTGCTAATGCTCGTGCATGTACTGCCTGGTCGTCATGTCCCGCACCCTGCAACGGCCTTGTCGCTGCACTATCCGAACTTCGTAAATTTCTCAGCGCGGTGCTGTCGGAATAGCCTCCTGGGGATCGTTGTTTCTCTAAAGATACTCTTTGCGGGGGCTCGCCTAGTTGAGCCCTCTGTATGACGGTCACATCTCTGGGACCTAGTGGTGGCGAGCTTCTATATATGGCTTCTGTACGAGGATCTACACTGTCATGCCCGTTCCTGAGACGTAGGCGTTCTTCTTTGGCCCGTACAGCTATCTGATATCTCTCGAAAGCACAATCATGAGGCTTGTTACTTTGATGCAGGACTTTCAGCAAGTTAAGCGACAACAGGCGTTCGCCTTCCAATTGACCCACTCGGTTATAGTTCCTAGCAGCTTCCCCACACATAGCCGCCCGGTCTTGGTCACTCAGTCTGCTCCACCCATCACTTCGTATTCGATGTAGATAGTCTCCGATCTCAGCCCTGTAATCCGCGATGTTCTCATCCTCGCTACTGAGATTACCAGTCAATACCCGACATGTATTATCGTTGGTGGATGTCATGGTCGTCTAACTATCACAATAAAGTCCAATACACCACGTACAGCGTACCACATTAAACCCTCTGGCCTCTGGTAAGAAGAAAGCCTTGTGTCAAGGTCAGGCAAACAGATGTGCGTTGATAACCTCTGATACAGCAAAGTATGTATTTTGAATTGTATATATTTTATACCCACCTTACTTGGTGTCCGGTGATAAGCGGGGAGTTCGACTTGCGATAAAAATAAATAGGAAAAAATATTAGGGGGTTATGGCTGCAGGCTGCAGGGCGCAGGCTGATTATTTTATCTCAGTCTCTGAGGACTGAAGGGTCTGAGGCCAACTCTCACAAGTCACAACTGCCACCGGCCCAACAACAAGTCACGATTCACGTCACGACTCACGACCGGCGTTTGCAGTTTATTATTTTATTAATATTAAAAATATTGTCCGAATATCGCGACTCCACAGTCCACAGACCACAGATGAGTGGCTAACTGACAGCCAGGAGGTCCTCTCTCATCGATGTTGTTGTGAAGGACTCTGAACTTGGAGTCTGCCAGTCTGGTGGTCTGGGCGTCTGCTGTCTGGCCTCTCTCGAGGTCAGTCACTCTCGGTCTCAGGACTCAGAGTCTCTGACTCTCGGAGGGACGCTGGGACGGGTAAGCCTTTTGTTTCGTCGAAACTCAAAACTGTCGAAAGCCGAAACATGCCTTTTTTTATTAAATAATCTAAAAATAACTCGAATTTCAATTCGTCTCCGTGTCGTCAATCATTTTTAGTTCATATTTTTATATATTTCTAAATTTTAAAATGTTATCAAATGTTTTTTTTGTAAAGAATAACAATAATATTTGTTTTTTTTGTTTATAAAAAATGTAAAACACAAACAAAAACACAAACAAAAACCAAAAGGGCTTCGCGTCATCGAGTCTTCATTCTTCGAGTCGTCGACAGATTTTTCCAAAACAATTTCTAATATTTATGTAAAATATATGTCTAATTTAGAAGGCTATGAAAAAAAATAAGTAAGAAATCATAGCTGGCCTTGAACCGGGCCTTCTGTTATTAAAAAACTATTAAATAATTCAGGCTATGGAAAAATAAACCAGTTTCTAGCCCCAGGGCAGACTCTAGGAATCCAGGGGCGGCCCAAGTCTCCAACCTCCCAGAGTCCCAGCCCCAGCCCCCAGGCCCCAGCCCACAGAGGAGGCCATGGCCCAGGCTCCCAAGTCTCAGCCTCGATTGGTCTCTGTTGACTAAAATATTTGATTTTGGTTAAAAAAAAAAATCATATCGTTTTTGAACTCTTGTTTTCTGTAAAACAAATAAATATATATTTGGACAAAAACAAAATATTTAGACAGTCACTACCAGTCTATTTATTTTGTTTTGGAAAAAGAAATACAACTAAAATATTTAGAACTGGTATGTTCTCAACTTCTCTGTTATTTGTTTTTTAATAAAAAATATTTAAAAAAAAAGGGGTTCTTTTTGGTTTGTTTTGTTTTACAATTTATTACCTTTTTTTTGTTGATACAAAATAAAGAAAGAAAGAAAGAAAAAAACAGTGACTGTACAAAATATAATACAATCGTCCCAGTGTGTCTGATTTTAGACGGCTATGATCTGAAAGAAAATATACGGACACAAAGAGGCTATGGCTGCGGCTGCTATGTACAACTTTGCAACTTGTATAAGCCAGGATATTTCGGCGGGTTTAGTTAAAAAATTTTCTAGCAACCACGCTGGCACGTGGACATATAGTTATTTCAAGCGAGAGCTGTCCCAGGGAACTTCATTATAAAGACCGTACTGATGTTATATCACCACAACTACTGTGTATACAGACGATAGAATAGTATATATAGATCAGATTTAGGTGTGTAATGTTTTAGTAGCATAGCAGCAAATACATATATTTTGTTGCCATGGAAGCGGATATGTACGGTAAACCCGTAGCCAGGTGCTGTATGTGCGGCGACTTTGCCAAGTTCCGATGTCAGTGTCAGCAGACGTACTATTGCGACTACACTTGTCAGGTATGTGCAGATTCGAACGTATGTATGACTATATATATGTATATATATATTTTTATATATATCTATATATATATATATACATATATATATATATATATATATATGAATATATATTCATGAATAGATATAATAATAATAATAATAATAATAATAATAATAATATTAAATACACTCGCACAAATGTATATATATATATATATATATATATATATATATATATATATATATATATATATATATATATATATATATATATTCACAGGTGTGTGTGTGTGTGTGTGCGTGTATATATACACATGAATATACATATATACACGTGGGCATATATATATATATATAATATATATATATAATATTATATATATATATATATATATATATATATATATAATATAGTTATTATATAATATATATATATATATATATATATATATATATATATATATATATATATATATATATATATATATATATATATATATACACACACACACACACACACACACACACACATATATATATA